CAATACAGGAGTGTTCGAATGAAAAAAATTAAACTATAAAGAGGAATTCATCTAAAATTAATAAAGAATCTGGATGTCGATATCGATGCTAAATATATGCGGATAATTTGGTGCGACTCTATTATCTGATCCTATTCAAGAATTTTTTTATATTCTGGAGAAAATTATTAAGTCTTACGTCCAGCTAGAAATATCGATTTACCTTTCTTTTGACTATATATTGTTAAAATCCCTTAACCGTTTTATAGAAATTTTGCAACTTTTGGAAACATCTTCATGTACAAGGTCGTCAAATTTTGCAAAGTTGTAATAAAACTGAATTTTTGTGAACCACTATAAATAATTTGCAAAGATTAATATACATCAAAAGAAATGTAAATCGATTACCTATATTTTGGTTGTTATACTGTTAAAATCGCTTAACTTTTTTATAAAAATGTTACAACTTTTGTTAACATCTATATGCAAATGAGTAATTCTAATAATAAGAAATTAAGCAACCACATATGTATGTAAAAATATATTTATTAATAATGTTAATTACAATTTTTAATCATAATATTGATTATTAACTGTATATTAGGTAAACAATGCATTTTGAAAAATAAATTTTGCAAAATAACAATCAAAAAAATTTTTTATTTAAAGTTTCTAAGGTTATTTTGAATTCCCTGTGAAGAAAATGCAACCGTGCGCCGGCTGACGTGGGAAATATTAGAGGAGTACAGCTATATGTTTTCCTTACGGAGAACCTGAATGAGTGCGACAGTGATGCAAGGCTAGGGCTGCCAGACGTCCCGGTTTTCCCGGACATGTCCCGGTTTTAGACTATTTGTCCCGGTGTCCCGGTCCAACCTTAAAATGTTCCGTGTTTCGTTTTAGTGTCCCGGTTTTTCATTTGATTGCACAAATTTGAATAAAAGTTCAAAAATCACTACACTAAGCGAAAAAAATGCGTTGTAATATTCAGAAAAATGTTATGAATATTTTCCATTTGATTATCGTTTGAAAATGTTCGTATTTAAAAATAATACTTTCATAACACGCACGCGTGGTGTTGATTCAAACGCAACATTTAAATGCACATTTACATGTCTGGCTGTAACTGAGTGCGCGAAGATGCTTGCCACAATTTGCTAATTTCCAGAGGGTCAGGGCTCAATTCCCATTACAACCAGCATAGAATTTAAATATTTTTTTAACTTAATTATGAAAAAGCAATCAGTAATTGCAAATCGCTTCATTTTAATATGGGCGTATTTGTAGTGAATATTTCTATACTAAATACTAAAATTTGTATACATAAATGTATTACGAGTTGAGTTTCTTTCATATGCGTATTTTTTTAATTTAGCACGCTTTTTTAATTCTAAACTTCTTTCTCTCAGTGCACCGGCTTAATTTGTGAAATAGTCACATTTCGAGATAGTTGAACTTTGCACAAGCAATAGTTGATGATTCGTATATGTACCTAAATACGTTCAAAATGACGTGCACAGAGTTTTACAATTATATTAAGGAAAAGACAGAACAAGTTCACAGCAACGAAAAATATGACTGATATTTGTATGTTATCTTGTACTTAAGTTTTTTTCTTTCATGAAACCTAGAGTACAGTGCCGTACAAAATTGTTGGCTCGGAGGCTCTTTCATCAGATCTCAATTTCTAATCAGATCTTTTAGAAAAATTTTGAAAATGTAGCTTTTGGGTCAATTAATAAAGTGCAAGTCTGAAGTTGCCAGCAAATTTCGTGGATTTTTAGCATTTTTTTTTTTTTNAATACCAAAAATCAACTAAAATTTAATGGGCTGCAAAACTTCATTTTAAAAATTTGTATAAAAGGTCTGATTAGAATGTTGCAAATTTGTATGAAAATTTATTGAATTTTGCCGAGCTTAGCACAAAGTTTAACAATTTTTTGTTATGTTTTTTCATATATTTAGTATAAACTGTATTTTTATAAAGAATAAAAAAAGGTTCATGCATTGTGAAAAATTCTTTGTGCTTTAGTTGTGATAAGTTGTTCTGTTTTGTTGGCGTACGTTGTAATGATCTCATGATCTCATGTTTTTATGTTTTTGTTTTTGTCTGTCAAAATAAAATTTCACTACATCCTTTCGCACGTCGAAATGAAAGAGAAGGGAGCGAGAGGCCCTCCCTAAAGTGTCCCGGTTTGGCAACAGAGATATCTGGCAGCCCTANCTGGCAGCCCTATGCAAGGCTCACGCGTACAGGGGGAAACTGGTGAAAATCTGCACACCGCCCATACAAAATTCAGCAGATTTTTCACCAGTTTTGAAGTGAAGGAAACCCGCGGTTTCACCAGATATTTCACTACTTTTGGCTGGCTGAGAACCCAGCACCTAACTAACATTCGTATGGCGATGGTTGCCCTGTGCCAAAAAGAGCATTCGCATTGTGATATCTACGTAAAAAGAAGCAAAATAATAAATACTTTTTTATCGAGTTATATATATTTTCTACATTCATGTATGATATAATACATTTTTTAAATAAAATTACATTTTTTTCTGCACATATCATATAATTGAGATGATAGTTACAAACATTTATCTATCTTTATGAAGAGTTTTTATATTTGAACAACCTATATATAATTATATATAATAATTTCTTCTCCAATCAGCTCATGTATCCATTTTCATTTCTCAAATAATTTTACACATACATAAAGATTTTCCCCTTTTTTAACAAATTCATTTAAATATTTTTTAATAGATTTGAAAGTTGAAACTCCGTCATTCCAATGCAATTCTATACACTTAATAATATTGATAAATGTGTTCAGTTTATACACGTTTTCTTAGATATATATATATCTATAGTGATATAGCGCTATCATATACATATATAGCGATATGATTAAATAAAAGAATTTAGTTAAAATCTAAAGCTGATTGAAGTAGTTCTTATTTTTTAGCGAATATTTAAAAAGGACAATATGAAAAGTTATGAAATTGAAGAATTTCTAGAAAGGAATTTTGAACGTATATTAGACCATCATAGAAACATTATACAAAATGGATGTATATTAACTAAACGATGGAAAATGGGTCTTGGATAAAATCTATATATGGAAAACATTATACGATCTGTCCTTGGAGTAATAATAATGCTAAATCAGGACCTGATACATGTAATTGCTATATCACAGAAAGACAACATAAAAATATTGTGAAATTAATAAATTTATATAATCGCTATTATAATGGAGAAAATAAGGAAAATATTGATTTAAATAAATTTATATATGAGATTAATACATTCAATAAAAAAATTTCTAATTAAAACGATAAAACACGTATACATATACTATCATTATAAAATTGAACGTATTTACGATTTGTTCAAAAAAATGTTAGCAACGGAATTGGAAAAATTATTAAATACATATAGTTGTTATATTGAAAAAGAGCATGTTAAACTTTTTATGGACATAATCAACGAGTGGCGATTATATAAAACTAGTATTTTTAAATTAACAACCTCGCTAATAAATGCATGTTCATACGCATTTTTTTATCAACGATACACAACCGAAAAAAAACCTATTTGATGTGTACACAACTGCCTACAATCCACTTTTCTATCAAAACAAAAACATATAAAAAGAAAAGTCATCAAGTAAAATTTATTAGGAAGAAAATTTAAGCCAATGACTGACAATTTATTATGTTATGAGGTTTTACACATGGACAAAATATATATTAATAAGGAGACGAAGAAGCTTTACTGCAAGACTGAGGACAACATGAAGATGGATTCTTCTATGGATATGGAACGGTGTATTTTTAAAGAAAAGTGGTTTCAGGATGCACTATTTTTGGAGAAGTTGGAGGATTGTGTTTTCAGCGAAATAAATGAATACATGAAACACCATCTGACGGACAACCCGCCAGTTGGATCGTTCTTCGAAATGGGCTTGTTGGATATTGCAAGTAAAGAACTTATCTTTTGCGTATATCGTGTTAAATAGTTGAAGTGACTTTTATTTGCTAGATTTGGGCCAAAAGGTTATGGGCCCAGACCCATGCTAAAGCAAATAAAGTCTACTGTCGGTGAAGTCGAATGGACGGCGATATAAAAACTATAGCAGATAATATTAACATTGCGAACTCCGGGATTCATATAAGTCCGAAAATGACGGAATAAAGAGTGTACCATATCCACCGCTTCAACGGAGAAAATTATCAGCTTTGGCGCAGGCAGATGGAGATCTATATGGCCGAAAACAAATTAAAAGCTTATGTGTTTAAGCCTGCAGCTTAAGTTTAGGATACAAACTTCACCGAGAGATGTCGCTGCCAACCACTCGCTAACAGGACTCGTTACTTTATCTCCCTTTTGGCACGAGTCCTGTTAGTCGATCCCGTTGTCAAATTCCACCGTCTGTGGACTCTATAAATGCGGCAATTGAGTATAGCCTCCTTCTATTCTATTTTGTGATCGACAGCCAGCGACATCTCAGGTGAGTACACTCATGTTTTGTACATATATTTGTTAAATAAAATTAAATTGTGTATAAATACCCGAACACCTGACATATCTTATATCTTTGGAGACTAGGGCGTTAGTTGGTATGTAGTTTTAAAAGATTATCTTAAAGAATCGGCTCCCCCAATGGTCCCCGTTGCCGGAATCACGAGGATTTCCGGCCCCTAAATTACCCCGCTCGAACATGGTCCTTCGAGCCGGATCTTTAAGATAATCTTTTTTTGTTCATTAATTTTGCGATTTTTTAAAAATAATAATTATAATTATCTCAATAAAAATATTTTTTAACAAAAATTAACAACTCTCGTCAAGTCCCATTGGTAGAGTTTTTATTAGCACACACCATTGTGAATGAGCCCGCATGAAAGAAGCAGCATTTGACATTTCATGCAGCCGGCCATTTGCAAAACACAAAGAAAACCAGCTAGTGCCAGCAAAGGAAAAAAAAACTAAAAACTGAACAAAAAAGGTAAAAAACAAAAAAGGGAACTTGTTCCGGCAATCCACGAGGGAGGTAAGTCCCCTTTTCAGTGACTATTGCAAAAAGGGTGCACTCGCGGAATAAATAAAGGTGAGTGAAAACTAATAGGGAATCTCCATGAGACAACCTTCACAGGCAATTAGTGGAAAGGCCTTTGGTATACTAGGCAATTGCTGCATTGTGCTGAAAGATGCCTGTAAAAGGCGCCTCATGAAAATTCCCTATAACTTAAAATTGGTAAAGAAGGCGCTGGAAAAAGCGTTGTCCAAACGTGGTCGGGACCACATATTCGGTGAGTAGCGGAACTCAGCTAGTAAGCGGTAAAATCCCGCTAGTCGACTGCAACGGCCAACGAAATATATATATATATGTATATATACATATACATATATTGGTGCAAATAAAAATTAAAAAGACACCAAAAAGTGCTAATTAAGTGAAAGTCCCTGATTAGCAGGGTAGTGAAAGTGTGAATAAAAAGTCCCTGAAACGCAGGGCACAAAGAGCAAATCGCCAAAAAGTGCAAGTCCCTGATTAGCAGGGCAGTGAAAGTGCGGTAAAAGACCCTAAAAAATCAGGGCAACAAGCGAAAACTGCTACAAAGCGCCAAAAAGTGCAAGTCCCTGATTTGCAGGGCAGTGAAAGTGCGGTAAAAGTCCCTATAAAATCAGGGCAATAAGCGCAAACTGAAACAAATCACCAAAAAAGTGAAAGTCCTGATTAGCAGGGCAGTGAAAGTGCGGTAAAAGTCCCTATAAAATCAGGGCAATAAGCGCAAACTGAAACAAATCACCAAAAAAGTGAAAGTCCTGATTAGCAGGGCAGTGAAAGTGCGGTAAAAGTCCCTATAAAATCAGGGCAATAAGCGCAAACTGAAACAAATCACCAAAAAAGTGAAAGTCCTGATTAGCAGGGCAGTGAAAGTGCGGTAAAAGTCCCTATAAAATCAGGGCAATAAGCGCAAACTGAAACAAATCACCAAAAAAGTGAAAGTCCTGATTAGCAGGGCAGTGAAAGTGTGGTGAAAGTCCCTCATTAGCAGGGCAGTGAAAGTGCGGTAAAAGACCCTTAAAAATCAGGGCAATAAGCGAAAACTGCTACAAAGCGCCAAAAAGTGAAAGTCCTGACTAGCAGGGCAGTGAAAGTGCGGTAAAAGTCCCTATAAAATCAGGGCAATAAGCGCAACTGAAACAAATCGCCAAAAAAAGTGAAAGTCCTGACTAGCAGGGCAGTGAAAGTGCGGTGAAAGTCCCTGAGTAGCAGGGCACTAAGCGATAAGCGCAAAAAATCAGCTTGCAAGTGAAAGTCCTGATTAGCAGGGCAGTGCAAGTGCGGTGAAAGTCCCTCATTAGCAGGGCATTGAGCGATAAACGCAAACAAAAAAAAATTATTATACAATTTTATACTAAATCGGCACCTCAGTCTCTTTCGCAGGATCGAGGCAAGACCATAAGCGCCATTGCAACAACCGCAGTGAGACCACAGCGAGCGCTCCAGCAAAAGAGCAGCAATAGCGACACTCCAACGCTCCACCGCGGGAGCGACAATACAACTAGGCCCCCACCAAGTGGTCCACCGCGGGAGCAACAATACAACTAGGCCCCCCACCAAGTGGTCCACCGCGGGAGCAACAAAAATACAACTAGGCCCCCCACCAAGTGGCCCACCGCGGGAGCACAGCATACTTCGAGGCCCCCACCAAGTGGTCCACCGCGGGAGAAATAACCACAACAGTTTTCGATAACAGTAAGCTGCATGAAAAGGTAACCCTTTGAGATTCGCCACGTATATTCAAGTCGGGCGCGATTTGATTTAATTTGCGGTGAACTGATACACGGTGAAAGTACCGGAATCACATCAATTTAGTGAAAAAAAAAAA